CTCTGTGGAGCAGAACCCCCAGCCTCACTCGGTCACCCCCGCCACCCTACAGCAGACCGCATGAGCAAGACATAGCCAATTCCACTGTCACATTGCCAAAGTTGGGAGCTGTTGGAGAAACTGAATGCATGTGGCCACATGTGGCACTGCTCCTGCCTTAGTGCCCATCATCCACCAAGTACTCCCTGGGGCAGAGGGCCAATCCTCTGAAAATGCAGATAACCTGGGGCCCAACTCTTGGCATCGGGACAAGTAATCCTAATATAGGTGGAGCATCCCAAATCCAAAGATCCCAAATTCAAAATGTTCCTAAGTCCAAAACTTTTTGAGCACCAACATGACATTCAAAGGAATGCTCAGTGGCAGTGGAGCATTTTGGACTTCAGATTTCCACATTTGGGATGTTCAGCCAGTAAGTATAATACAAATATTCCAAAATCCAAAGAAATCGAAGACACTTCCGGTGCCAAGCATTTCAGATCAGAGATATTCAACCAGGATACGAACAGCGGGTGACAAAGGCACATTGGCATAGCTTGTACATCCAGGCAGTGTGGCAGGGGTTTGTGCCATTTTGACCCGTTCAATTCTGGTGACAATGCTGGCAGTGACCTTCTGCAAGGACCCAAGATCCTCAGCCTTAGGGACAGGCCACAAGTGTGGCCTAGGCAGCGGCCCTCAGCCAGGGATTGTCAGGAAGTGGTGACTGAAGCATCCACGTCCCCACCCTCGGGGTAGGGCACTTCTGAACTGTGAGACCCACATCCCAGGTCCCAGCCCAGCTGAGCTTCAGGTGCCACGGTGGTAACTGCCTTGATAATAGACCCCTCCTCCCGAACGGCTGCTTCCTGAGACATCTCACACACCCCAAAATAAGCCACACACACTAGATTCCTGGCTTCAGAATCTGCTTCTAAGGGAATCCAACCAAACAGAACAACCCTCTGAAGCCTCCATTTTACAGATGGGGAAAACAAGGCATGGAGTGCAGAGTGGCTAGGGCCCCACAGCCTGGGGATGGGGATGCCAGGTCCGAGCCACCACCATTTGACTCTGGCTCCAGGCTCTGCACCTCCACAAGGTGCAAGGCCCAGCCAATGGTCAGTACGCTTATGTATCCTCTCTTTCCAACCTCATGAGGCCCCACATCCTCTTTCCAAGCCATCCATTGAGCCCCTCAGCCATTCATACCTCTGTGCATTTACTAGACACACACTAAGTGCCACCCCATGGAGACCCTGGGCTGTCATGATGTCACCATTCACCCTCAGTAACCCCGTGCGAGGCCAGCATATCCCAAGGGGTGCCCTGCATCCTGGTTTTGCAGAGAGTTCACAGGTGTTTAGGGAGAGAGGGATGTGGGGTCCAAAATGTTTGTAAAAGTTTGGTATAAAAAATGTTGAACATCCACAGTGAGATACCATTTCACACCCACTAACATGGCTGGAACCAAAAAGATAGACCATGACAGGTGTTGACTTGGAGTTGGAGAAAGCGGACCCCTCCGACACTGCCAACGTCAATGTGACATGATGCCATTACCTTGGAAGGCTGTTGGGTACATCCTCAAACAGTCAAGGATGGCACTGCCATGTGACCCAGCAATTCCGCTCCCAGGCATACCCCCAAGAGCATGTGACCAAAGCCTATGTCACACAAAACCTTGTACACAAATGTTCACGACAGTGGTATTCCTAACAGCCAAAAAGTTCAAACAGCCCACATGCTCATCAACTAATGAAAGGATGGACAAAATGCAGTCCATCCACACAACAGAACAATGTGCCATGGTGAGGTGGAGCGCTGCACGGTCACAGGCCACAGTGTGGGCGAGCCTTGAGAGCTCTAGGAAACTGAAAGGAACCAGACAAGAAAGCCACACATTGCCTGATTCCACTCGTATGAAAATGCCCAGAACAGGCAAATCCAAGGACAGAACGTGAAGCAGGGGTTGCCAGGGGCTGCCAGGGGGCATGGAAGGGGTGGGGGCTAAGAACACATAGTTTCTCTTTGAAATTTTTCAGCCTCCCTCCCATAAAATGGACCATGGTGCTGGTGGCATGGCCCTGTGAATATGCTTCCAACCCATGGGCTGTACACTTTAAAGCTGTGAATTGTATGGTATGTGAACTGTATCTCAATAAAACTGATTGTTAGAAATGTTAAACTTTTTCTTCAAAGTTGCCCGGTTTTCCTCTTGGGAAGCTTTCTGGGAGCCTTTCCTGGGCTGACTCTGGGGTCTGCAGATGTCCCTGGGCCCCACTCATGATTTGACCTTGACACTTTTCTTGATCTGTTTTCTACAAAACTGCTTCCGGAAGCTCTGAAACAGACCTGGCTTGGAGCAGGACAGGTGACCGGGCTTCAACACCGACAACCCCTGGCTTGGAGCCGCTGTATCTCCACAAATGGAAAGAGAGCAGCAGCCTGGCTGTGGGAGGCAGAGGACACAGCGGGCACTTGTCACTGTGTAAACAGGAAGTGCAGCATCGATGCTAGCAGCCCTTACGTGGAAGGCAAAGGACCAGAGGGAAGAGGCCACACCACGGGTGAGTGGCCGTCTCTGCTCTGCACAGTGCCGCGTGGGGGATTTCCACCTGCATTTCCTTTGCTGATATCAGCTCATCCTTCCCCACTGGACAGGAAGAATGAGCATGATTTCAAAAAGAGGAAAGAAAAGAATGAGCTGGCTCCAACATGTTCAGATTTGTTTTCCACAACTTTGTGAAGCCAGGGCTCTGTTGTTTCCACCCAGCCCTGGAGGCAGCGGGAGCCACCAGTGAGGGGGTTGGGAGTGCCGAGATCTCTCGGGGTTGGGGGACCCCACTGGGTGGCAGGTGGGGGGCCAGCCCCTGGAAGCAAGGCCTGCTCCTGGGAAGGGCCGTATCTCTCAGGGCCTGGGCAAGGAGGCAGGCGGACGAGCAGGTGGAAGAAGGGGCGAGGCGGGGAGGGGGCATTTCCTGGCTGATCCTCTTCATTTCTTTCCCTTTCATGACTGATTTCCGCCTCAATTGGAGTAATTACTCTCTACTCAGCGTCATTTCTTTCCTCCATTCAAGGAGGGGAAGAAACACACCAGCATCTCTTTAGAGGGGAGGAAATTCTTTCAGACCCTGCACAGCTGCTCTCTGCAGGGCGGGGAAGAAGACTTCAAAGTGTCACTGTCTTTTGTCCCCCGAGAGATGCCCCATCCTTTCTCGAGGGAGTGTGGAGGCTGGTGATCTTTACATTCCTGGGGGTCTTCAAAACCCCAGGCCTCTCTAATCTCCAAGTGGCATTTGATCAGAGACCTCTAGCCTGGCAGATCGGGGAGCCGACAGCCAGCTTGTCCCCCTGCAGGAGAGGAAGAGATGAGGGCAGAGAGGGGCCACACTAAGACCCTCCCACTGACCACCTTGCCCCACCCTGAGGCCCCAGGTCGGAGGGCACAGCCTGCATCTCACAGGTGTGGAGACGGAGGCAGAGAGTCGTGCTGGAGGCTGGCAGTGCCACACCGGGGCTCCGGGGTGCCCTCTGATCCTGCAATCACAGAAGGGGGTCCGCTCCTTGGAGTCCGGCCAACAGTTCCCAGAAGCTTAAGTGTGCCGTGCACAGGGACAGACCGTGGACCATGGGTGGAATGAGACACCCAAGGAGCTTCCAGCCGCAGAGGGAAGAAAGTAGAAATCACAGCCACACAGCTGGGCATAAGAGGAGAGCAGTGTGCGGGAGACAGAGGGAGAGGCCTCTCCAGGTCCCAGCCTCTGGAAGCTTCCTAGGGGTGGTGCCAGGAGGTGGGGTAGGGTGTCAAAGGGGGACAGAGTGGAATGACCCTGCAGTGGAAGGAACAGCAAAGGCCCAGGCGTGGCAGTGGAAGGTTCAGAATGGGATGGGGGAAGAGGCTGGGGGAAGCAGACACAAGGTGGAACAAGGATCGGGACAGCCTGTGCCGGGGCTCAGCCCCATCTCTCCCCTCTTCTAGGAAGCCCTCTGTGAGTTTGGGGCTGAGCCTGGTGCCCTGCACTCACCTGCCCAGGGCACCCCAAGCTTTGTGTCTGCAGGGATTGAGGTTCTGTCTTCCCCACTGGACAGAGGCCCCAGGGGGCAGTGAACTGGCCTCCTAGGCTGTCGTAGCAAATTCCCATGCACTGGGCGGCATTGTTTCACTCCCTGTTTTGGAGGCCTGAAGTCTAAGATCAAAGTGTTGGCAGGGCTGGCACCTTCTGGAGACTGTGAAGGGGGAGCTATGCCAGGCCTCCCTCCCAGCTTTCGGGGTGGTCAGTTCCAGGCCTCCCTCCCAGCTTTCGGGGTGGCCAATGCCTGGCGTTCCTTGGCTGGGGGACGCATCCCTCTCACCTCCGCCCCCGGCATCATGCCGCCTTCTCCTGGGGCCTCCCTGTCGCTGTCTTCAAGCGGCATCCTCCCCATCTCTCTGTGTCTAAATTCCCCTCTTCTCATAAGGACACCAGTCACATTGGATTTGGACCCACCCTACTCCAGTATGGCCTCATCTGAACTTGATGACATCCGCAAAGACCCTCTTTCCAGATAAGTTCACATTCACAGATACTGGGATCAGGACTTAAACGTGTATTTTGGGGAGGCCACAATTCAACCCGAAATATAGAGCCTGTCTACATCGCTCAGGGGCAAGCACAAGACAGCCACGTGGCGGGCTCCCCACACGGCACGTCTGCTGATTGAATAATGGCTCCACTCCACCACGCCCTCCTCAGGAGCACAGCTCTCAGCACCATGGGCCAGCGTCACCCAGGCACTCACAGCCGACTTGAACGTCTGAGTTTTCATTTCACGGGAGAAGAGAGAGAGGCAGGCTGACTGGGTCCCCACCCACAGCCTGAAGGAAAGAAGGAAAGAGACCTCCAGCAAGGGGCCAGGGCCACCAGCCTCCACTTGTCTTGGGGGCTCCTCCAGTTGGAGGACAGGAAGGTATGGACCCTCCAGGGAAGAGATAGAAGCATCCCCAGCTCAAACCTCCCTGAAAAACATGCCGAACACAGAGCAGTTAGTGTGATTTATTAATCTGCCAGGAACTTTTCAAGATCTTAATTTGAAATTTAGAATCTACTTAGCTGGGTAACAAAAACATCCGACGCCAGGAACGGTAAATAATTTTCCCATCCATCGGGCCTTCCATGTGCCAGCGACTGCTCTTCCTTTCTCTGAGCCGCTCGTGGCAATTTTCAACTTTTTCTCTCTGCATTTGGAACGAGTGCCCGGTTCATCAAAGAAAGCACCAACGGTGGGTTTTGGGGAAAGCCGAAGAGGGACCTCTGCCAGTGTGTGATTAGAATACAAGACGGAGGATCAAGGTAATTAATTTTTTAACTTAATTTTTTTTTTTTTTTTTTTTTACTTTCTCCATCAGCTCCTGCAAAGCCGTGTGAATTCTATCTGCTTATGTAAATAAAGCTTCCGGGTGATAACATTAATTAGCAGCATAAAACTTTTGCTCATCCAGCTGAAGATAGCAGGTAGTTGGGAGAGAGGATTAATTTCTATTTTAATTAGAAATTTACATTTTCAGCAGCTTGGCCTCCAGCAGTGAACAATGTCGGTGCCCAGTGACAGATTCCGGTTCCTCCCAAATGTGCTGGCTTCTGAAAGGGCACTGCAGACATCTGCCCCCAGAGGGGCATTCCAGCCAGCACGGGGCTGGTTGATTAAAAAGGAAGTGATGGGATGAGAAGCGTCCTTCATGCAGTCGGCTGGTCCTGTGTGGGGCTGGTTCCTCCGGCGGCTGCTGCCCACCTCCAGCCTCCAGCAGGTGGGAGCCCCCTGGGTCCAAGCTGTCCTGGATGGAACAGGAGGGCAGAGGTGAAGCCTGGGAGGACAAGGTTGCAGCATTGGGGTCCCTGATACTGCCCCATCGCCAGGAAGGCCTTTGTCTTTCATGAACTCCATGCAGGAAGAAGGTATGCGGCTGAGAGGCCTGGCCTGGTGTGTCCTCGGGGCTGTGTGTGGCAGCCACGGGTCCCTGCTCACGGAGACACACCTGGCTGGCCCCACCCAGGCGTAGCCAATCAGACCCCAGGCAATGCCAGTGACCTCTGGAGCCTGAGAGCCCTGATGTAGAGAGTGCAGGACCTGGCCATGCTCCGCCTGCACACATGTGTGCTGTGCACGTGTGAAGGAGAGCCACGGCTTCTGTAAAATGCATGTGACTCTGTAACACATGAGCCAAGCATGTGAAAGGTCTATGTGCTTCCTGGGCTGTGCACGTGGAGCGCTGAGTATGACAGGAATGCACAACAGACATGGAGTTTGCAAGTGTGTGTGTGCTGTGTGTGAAAGGTGTGTGTGCAGACAGGGTTGTGTAGATCGTGTAGACTCGATCCTGCAGCAATGGAGAGCACTGAAGAAATGGCACTAAATAACAACAGTCTCTGCCCTGCTGCAGGGAAGTGGCGCAGGCAGTTCCCCAAACCCGGTTTATGAACTGAATCAAGTGCCCCAAAAATTTCTCTGTGGAAGTCAGGACCTCAGAATGGGACCGTATTGGGAGATAAGGTCTTTAAATAGGCAGTGAAGGTAAGCTGAAGTCAGTGGGGTGGGCCCTGATCCAGGATGCCTGGTGTCCTTATAAGAAGAGGCCATGGGGACACAGGCACACTCAGAGGGACAACCACGTGAGGCCGCAGGGAGAAGGTGGCATCTTGCAGGCCCCCCCAGGAGGGACACCTTGATCTGGGGTCCCACCTCTAGGACTATGGGGACCCGTCTGCGTTGTCTCAGCCACTCAGCCCGTGGTGCTTTGTACCACAGCCCCGGGAAACTAACACAGGAGCTCTCCCCAGCTTGCAAAGAAAAAGGAGACCCGGAGGAGCCTCAGGGGCTGGGAATGGAGGCCCCAGCCTCGTTCTCCACCAACAAGGACCTGGGCATCTCTGCTTCAGATCATGGGATATTTGTGGGTGATGAGGCAGGATCTGCTGGCCCAGATGAGGGCTGAGACCGGCAGGAAGCGGGGCCAGCTCCCGGGGCAGGACTGGACACGGAGACACAGGGGCCAACCAGGGCACTTCCTGCTCCGTCCTGACCCGGGGGGGTCCTATCCATGCTCCCTGTGTACACAGACAAAGACCCAGCCACCCTGCAAGCCAGGGCCACAGAGACAGTGAGAAGGTCCCCCAGGGAGTTCCTGACCCAGATGTCACCCTCAGTGAGGCCAATGAGCAAGAGAGCATGCCAGGACGGGTCCTGGGCGCACCGTGGATCTCATGTGCATGTGGAAGTGTGCACATGGACACGTTTGTGTGTGCTGCGTGTGTGTGCACATGTGTCTGAGTAGGCGTGGCTGTGTGCGGACACTTGCCTGTGTGTGTACATGTGTCTGAGTGTGGCTGTGTGTGCAGACACGTGCCTGTGTGTGCACATGTGTCTGAGTGGGCGTGGCTGTGTGCAGGCACGTGCCTCTGTGTGTGTGTACATGTGTCTGGGTGGGCGTGGTTGTGTGCAGGCACGTGCCTGTGTGTGTGCACGTGTCTGAGTGGGCGTGGCTGTGTGCAGGCACGTGTCTCTGTGTGTGTGTGCGCACACGTGTCTGAGTGGGCGTGGCTGTGTGTGGGCACATACCTGTGTGTGCACATGTGTCTGAATGGGTGTGGCTGTGTGCGGGCACGTGCCTGTGTGTGTGTGCACATATTGCACTGTGCACATGTGTCTGAGAGTGTGTGAGTGTGTGTCTGTGCATTTGCATGTGCAAGTGTCCATGTGTGCTGGGCTCCCTAGCTTCCCCGCTCAGGGCTCTCACACACAGTTTTCTCAGACACAGGAGGGTCCTGACCTCTTCTGCTGGGCACAGCCCCAGCTCAGCCTCCTCAGGGAAGCTGTCTCACCCCCAGTCATGCCAGCTCTCCCTGATGACCCACACCTCCCCACCGCTGAGGCCCTTGCACAGGAAGCCCTCAATCCAGCCAGGATCAGTCACTCCTACAGCTTCTACACAACCACGTCACTCCCTGTCCCACCACCTTCAGAGGCTCCCGCTGCCCCAGCCAAGGACTGTGAGGAAGCTTCCGGGGGAGAGGCCCCTGGAGCACCATGTGGAGGGTGACCGAGACGCTCCCTGCACCTGGGCCAGAGAAGCGGGGCTGTGGTTGATGAACAATGCATGCAGGAGCCTTGGGGTGAGGCACGGTGCACTCACCAACCTGCAGCCCCCAAGTCCTCAGCTGGCCCTGCATCCTTCATGACACAGCCACACCAGCAGCCACTCAGTCACTGTTTGACTGGTTTGAAAACATCACACAGAACCCTTTCCTGGGAAACCAAGTTGGCAGGGAGACGGCCCAGGAACTGTCCCAGTGGGTAATCCAGTAGGGCAGGGCAGGAGAGGCCCCCACACACAGTAGTGTCAGCCAACCCTCGGGTGATGCTCAGGTGGTCGTTAACTGTCTCTCTAAAGTAATAATTGGCCACAGCCAGCGCCAGGGAACGGCTGGCTCCCAATAGATAGGAAACACCTGAAACGTGATCAGCTGCTTCCCAATAAGATCTCAGGAGCTGGGCGAGTGGGCTCAAGCGTGAGCGTGCAGACAGCGCACCCCAAGGGAAGCGTCAGGGCAGAAGGGCCACAAGACACCGGAAGTGTGAGGCTCTGCAGCCCCGTCCAGATGGGCCGCCCGTGACATACTCTGGTGCCATGTGACTCGGATTGGTGCCACCGCCGCCAACAGACCCAGTGAGGGAAACGCCCCCCTGTGGGTGCGACGGAGGAGGCAGAGGCAGTCGGTGAGCTCTGGGAAGTGCCCTGCTCTCTGGACTGGGGCTGAGATCCATCCAGCTCCTCCCTGCCACTCCCACACAGAGCCACCTGTCCAGAGCAGCAACTTTGGACGTGACACCTCTTCCCACCTAGCCTCATCTGTGAGATGCCCCCACCAGGCTCTGACCTGCTGGGCCTTCCTGGATCCACCATGGTGAGGGCCGTGCTGGGCCCGTCCACAACCCTACGATTAGGCAGCCTACTGATCACAGTGTCTCTCACCCCATCCATCCAAGGACACTCTGGGCCTAACCTCAGTGACTCCTGTACCCCCTCTGCCTGACAGGTTTCCAAGACTTGACCTCTTATGTGGAAATCCTGTCTCCAAATGGCTTCCGGGGGCACCAAAGACCAGGCTGGGAGATGCCCAGGAAGGGAGACACTCTGAAGCCACCTGAGCCCACAGGTCCGGACCATGACCCAGCCCGGGGGAGGGCAGGGCTGCTGGGGAGAGGACGCAGGAGGTTGGGTGGCCTTTGTCATGATGACAAAGACGGCAGAGGCCAGTTCCTTGTCTGCCAGACAGCCTCCTCTACAGGGAAAAAGTGATCCTCTCATTCTCCCCTCAGCCCCTCTGGATGAGGAGGTGGCAGAGCTGCGTCTCTCTATTGCCCAGAGAAGAGCCCCTTCTCCTGCAGAAGCTCCTCTGCTCTCCGTCCTGCACACCAGCTCCCAGCCGCTCTTCAACAGCCCTGCCACGGGCACGAGGAGGACGCGTTTGAGGGAGCCCACGTGCCGCCCTCCAGCCAGGCAATGCCTCTCCTACAGCTTCCCTCCACCTGACTCTCCTAATCAGGCTCCAGAGGGGAGGCTGACCAGAGCTGCAGAGGGTGGGAGCTGGGATAGACTGGAAGAAGGACTTCCCAGACCCCTAGGGAGACCCAGGAAGCAGGGGAGGGTGTGGGACCTGCTACAGCACCCCCACCAACCTAGGAAGGTCTCCAGCCCTGCTCAGGCCATTACAGATTCTCATCACTGAGCACCCCAGCCCTGCGCACCCCAGCCCTGCATCGCCCAGGCCAGCCCAGATGGAGGCTGGATCCCAGCCCATGGTGCTCACAGGCCTCTGCCCCGGGGAGCTGGGAAGGGCGTGTGGGTGGCACCTGTCCCTCCTCTGGCTGCCCAACCTGGCTGTGTGCCCTCCCCTCCAAGCTGCCCAGGTACAGGGATGGCCAGAGGAGAGCATCCCAGGGCTGGGGCCCTGCCCAGGCAGGAGCCAGGTGGCTGGGCAGGACACCCCCATGGAGCTGTCCACCTCGTCTGCCCCATGGCTGGTCATATCACACAGCCAATGTCCCTTCGCTTGTCGGGCCCTCAGCTGGACCTGAGATCCTGGGGACAAGGCCTGACAAGGGCCATTCAACTCTGGATCCCTGGACCTCAGAACTAGGCCCAGCCCTGAGTGGGTGCCCAGGAGCTGATGGACCCTGACAGTCATAACAGCCCACCTGTTGTCAGGTTCCAGCTCCATGGCCCAGTTGGATTATCCCAACTACTCACTAAGGTGGGGTGACTAGTCCCCCATCTCACAGCTGAGGACACGGACGGCACACAGAGAGATCCATTAACGGGGTCAGAAGCAGACCCAGCAGCCCGGCTCTGAGTCCATGCCACCATGCCAGTGAGGCAGAAGTGGGGGGTGGAGGGGGAGAGGCCTCACCGGTCCCTCTCCAGGCGGCCTGCGGGAATGGGGGACTAGGCTAAGGGTGCGGTTCCTGCGCCACCAGCAGGGCTCATGGGGAGGCATCCACTCTCTGCTTAAGGATGCAGAGCTCCACAGGGCCCCAGGTGAGCCGCCTGGGGTCCACAGTGAGGGAAATGAGATAAGAAGTCACACCCAGCACAGTAACTGATGAATGAGCGAATGCATGAGGGGGTGAATCTGTCCCGCCCATGCCAACAGCAGGGCCCCTCCCTTGGTGCCAGGCAGGCCAGCTCCGGCTCTGCCTCTCCTCTGTGTGACCGGGCAGTCCCGAGGCCTCTCTCCCTGGGCATCCTTATCTGGGGAGGGACAAGAGCACCTGCCTGGCAGGTCCTTTCAGAGCGACCCTGAGGACAGACAGGCAGCACCTGGCACCCAGAAGAGCCTCGGGCAGCAGCTTGGCCTGGCCCTCTCCACCCACAGCCAACGACAGGGACCCCAACTCAGCCATGCCTCCAGCAGAGAGGCCCCAGCCCCTCCCTGCTGCCCACCGCCCCCTCCCGAGGCAGCATATGTTCCCGGCAGGCGGATCCGTCGCCAGGCTGCTATTTTTGTGCAGCATGTTCTGCTTCCGAGAGCAAACGTTTCTGCAGCTCCGGCATCCAGGGACCGGCCAGTCCTGTCCCATCCCAGCGGGGGAGGAGAGGCCACCCGCCCGAAGCTGGATTTTAGGCCCAAACACTGCCCGAAAGCCCAGGAGATGGAGGCCATGCTGAGAGGGCAGCCAAGTTCCAAGGTCAAGGGAAAGGCTGGGCCGGGAACCCTGGACCCACACAGGCTCCCCTGGGCCCATGTCCTGGGCTGGCTGGCCTCCACTCCACAGCCTCACAGACCCCCAAGTGTCCAGGTCCGGGTCTGGGAGTGGGAGGAGGAGGAGCCCCATCCCCCCAGGATTGTGGGGTCGGCCAGCCACAGGGCTATGGAGTGCAGCCCCAGACTCCCCGGTTTGGCCAAAGTTGCAGGAAGTCCGGGGTCCACGGAGTTCTCCCAGGTACAGGCTTGGGGGCAGTCACTCTTAAGCCCCTCACTCAGGAAAAGAGGGAATGTTTCCCACCTACAGTCCACTGTGGGGCCTGCCTCAAGCCCTGCCTGCCCCCTCCTCCCCAGATTCCCCAGGGGGTTCAGTCCCTCTGCTCACCCACTCCTGCCTGGCACCCTGAAGAGACCCACTCCGAGTGCCCACTGCATGCCCGTTGATGGGACAGAGATGACCATCCCCCTCCCCCTTGTGCCGCCCATCCAGGCCCACCCAGAAGCTGTCTCCCCTCCTGGCTCCTCATTCCTGCCCACCCAGCTCCGGTCCTCCCTCCATCCATCCCATCCATCCCATCCATCCAACCCATCCAACTCAGTTTCCCCAGTCAGCAGCATTTGGCAACGAGGAAGCAGTTCCCATGACAACAGCCAGGAAGCCAGCTCCAGATAGGGGGCTGTCCTGAGAAACTGGCTCTGCTGAGGCCTGAGCTGCAGGCCAGGGTGGGGTACAGCCACCTGCGTGGGAGGACCCTATGGTGGGGTCTGAGGAGGACCAGTGGGAGGAAGGGTGCCAGGCAGCCCTAGCGAGTGAAACAGCCCAGCTGGAATCCTTTCTGGCTGTGTAACCCTCAACAGAGCAGTTCCCCCGAACCTCAGTTTCCCCTCTCAAAAACAGACACATTGGGGCATATTCCATAAGGTCTGGAGGAAGATGATCATTCCCAGCAATAACTGGTACCAGGTTTAGAACCTCTACAAATACCGGGCACTTTACAAACACTCTTCGGTCTTCAGAGGACACTGTGAAGAAGTGACAACCGTCCCATGTTCCAGAGGAGAGAAGAGTGTCCCAGGGAACGTCCCAGGGAACGTCCCAGGGAGGAGAACTCCTTTCATCTGTTGCCCCAGGCTGGAGTGCAGTAGCACGAGTTCAGCTCACCACAACCTCTGCCTTCCGGGTTGAAGTGATTCTCACGCCTCAGTCTCCTGAGTGGCTGGGACTACAGGCGCCCACAACCACACCTGTCTAATTTTTGGATTTTTAGCACAGACAGGGTTTCACCCTGTTGGCCAAGCTGGTCTCAAATTCCTGGCCTCAAGTGATCCTCCCGCCTTGGTCTCCCAAAGTGTTGGGATTACAGGTGTGAGCCACCACGCCTGACCTCAAGGTCATGATTTAACAAAAAGTATTTTCTGTGCTTCATCAAAGACAGTCCTAGGTGAAACTGACTGTTTTGGGGCTTGGGAGTTTTGCAAGCGTGTGGCATGGCAGAACCCGATGCCCGCCTCCAAGCCGCACTGGGACCACCGTGGGGATGGTGCTCACACTTCCGCAGCATTACCGGTCATTGCTTTGGCACCATCGGGGCACACATCAAACAGCAAGAGACAACAGCATCTGAGTATTCTTACTGAAACAATTTTGAACTTGCAGATCCCCTGAAAGCATCCTGGGGGCTCAAGCTCAGATGCTTTGCTGGGCCCAGCCCATCTCAATCCAGCCCACCCCATCCAGCCCACCTCATCCAGCCCACCCCAATCCAGCCCACCCCAATCCAGCCCATCTCAATCCAGCTCACCCCAATCCAGCCCATCCCAGTCCAGCCCACCCCAATCCAGCCCACCCCAATCCAGTCCATCCAGCTGGCAGCACATCTTAATTTCTTGGCCTCATCAGGCACGTCAAAAACATTTCAACCCCGGCATGGTGGTGGGGTCTTTCCATGTCCTGCCCAGGAACCACCTCCATTGGCTAGCTCCTGGCCCCCGCACAGCTCCATCCCAAGGCTGACGCCCAGCCTTCTGGGGAGCCACTCCTCTTGGGGTCCGCCTCTTGAAAAGGCCCCTGCCCAAAGCTCCAGCCCTGGGATGCTGATAGCAGCCACGCTGAGGCTGAGGCTGGGGGTAGAGGGGCCATCTAGAGTAAGCAGTCACTCCCACTGCCTGGCGACTTCTGCATGTTTATCATGCCTTTGTCCATTCCTTCCTTCACCGAAAATTATGCATTCTGAGATCACCAAATGCCGGCCCTCGGTAGGAAGGAGCAGCTCCAAAACCCATACAAAGCGCCAGGCATGTGGCTAGCTGCCTCGGGAAGCAGACAATGGCGGAGTCAGTGCTACTATTCCTGTGGATACTGAGCAGAAGGAGAGGCAGCTGTCCCAGGGCACACACTGCCTGGCAGGAGACAGACACCAGGAGAGGGAAGCATGCAAGTGTTACGTCAGGGAGTCCCCTCAGGGCCCCGCGGGACACAGAGCCTACCCAGCCACTGGACAGCGACACCATGGCCCCCGACGGTATCCAAGCTGGGACTTGAGAATCAGTAGGAATTCTCAAAGAAGAGAAAGAAGGCTGTTTCTAGTGAAGGAAACAGCAAGGGTGAATGCCTGGGGGAAGGAGGGGGCAGGTTACAGGAGGGTGCATTCCAACAACCCAAACCCATTCCAGGGGGCAGTGGGAGGGGTGAGTAAGGGGCATAGATGGTGGGACGGGGCATCTCCATCAATGTGACCCCCACACATGTTAGGATCTTCAGACTTCAGAATCTATTCAGTTGGGGGTTTTTTGTTTTGTGCTTTTAGTTTTACAGATGGAGTTTTGCTCTGTTACCCATGCTAGAGTGCAGTGGCACAATCACAGCTCACTGCAGCCTTGAACTCCTGGGCTCAAGCCATGCTCCCACCTCAGCCTCCCAAGTAGCTGGGACCATAGGCGCATGCCGCCACATCAAGATAATTTTTTAGTTTTTTGTGAGACAAAGTCTAGGTATATTCCCCAGGCTGGTCTTGAACTCCTGGCCTCAAGCCATCCTCCTGCCTTGGCCTCCCAAAGTTCTGGGATTACAGGCATGAGCCACTGCAGCCAGCAGAGTGCGGAATCTAACAGCCAACATGCTAGGCAAATAGCTATGGAGGACCCTCATTCACTCACAGGTTCATCTCACAAACATGCATTCATCAGCAGACACCAACCCCTCCAGTTGGAAGAAAAGACGCCCTGGAGGAAGAAGAGACCCATGAACGTTCTGGGGGCCAAGGGAGGACCTAGTTCCAGAGGCCGAGTTTAGCAACATTAGCTTCCTCCTCTGAGCTTTGGGAGCCACTGAAGGTTCTTGAGCAAAGAAGGGTCCAGCGCGTCCTCTGTTCCTCAGTGTATTAGTCAGGGTTCTCTAGAGGGACAGAACCAATGGGATAGATGTATATATAAAGGGGGGGGGTTATTAAGGAGAATCGACTCACACAATCACAAGGTGAGGTCCCACAATAGGCCGTCTGCAAGCTGAGGAGCAAGGAAGCCAGCCCGAGTTTCAAAACCTCAGAAGCCAACAGTCCAGCCTTCAGTCTGTGGCTGAAGGTCCAACAGTCCCAAGGCTGAAGAGCCTGGGGTCCGATGTTCGAAGGCAGGAAGCATCCAGCACGGGAGAAAGATGAAGGCCGAGAGACAGCAAGTCGGGTCCTTCCATGTTCTTCTGCCTGCTTTATTCTAGCCATTCTGGCAGCTGATTAGATGGTGCCCGCCCACGTAGAGGGTGGGTCTGCCTCTCCCAGTCCACTGACTCAAATGTTGATGTCCTCTGGCAACACCCTCACAGACACACCCAGGAACACTTTGCATCCTTCAATCCAATCAAGTTGACGCTCAGTATTAACCATCACATGCAGGCTGGCATCTCTGGGCTGTGACAGGCCAGTGCTTGTGAGGGTGGACAGGCCCGGGACAGGCAGCCTGGGACTCAGGGGACCTGCCTTCCTGCCCCTGCTCTGAGGAGCTGTGCTGCCTCAGCAGGGCCCCAGCCTCCTCTGGCCCCCACCTCCTTTCTGGGAAGCAGCAGGTTTCACATGCAGATCGTGAGGTTCCCTCGCAGCTCTGATGCACCCTGATGCAGTAATGGGGGAAGCACAGGGACGTGACGGGGCTCCAGGCTCTCCGCAGTCCCCAGTCGAAAATCAGCATCACTTTTTGAAAAATGGAAGTAGAAGACTTCATAAGGAGTTAATCGCATTTCTTGCTGCAGCTTATCTCTGGGCAAAAACTCACAAATATGACATTAAAATCTATAAGTAGCATGATGGTTTCATTAATTTAATGCTTTCATGATTGCCACAAAATGAAAGTGGCACCGTACAACCATAAAGAACAACCAGAAAGACGGCCACCCCGGCCGGCACGTGGCTCCTGCCTGTAATCCCAGCACTTTGGGAGGCCGTGGCAGGCGGATCACGAGGTCAGGAGATCGAGACCATCCTGGCCAACATGATGAAACCCCAACTCTACTAAAAATACAAAAATTCGCCGGGCTTAGTGGCAGCGCCTGTAGTCCCAGCTACATGGGAGGCTGAAGCAGGAGAATCGTCTGAACCAGGGAGTGGGAGGTTGCGGTGAGCTGAGATCTCACCACAGCACTCCCAGCCTGGGCGACAGAGCGAGACTCTGTCTCAAAAATAAATAAATAAATAAATAAATAAATAAATAAAGTCCACCCTGAATGCCCCCAGCACTGCACTGTCCCTGGCCAGCCGTGCTCCCTGTGAAGGGAGTGGGTGGCAGTCGCATGCCCCTCCCCCAGGCTCCCTGTGCCCCTCCCCCAGGCTCCCCGTGCCCCTCCCAGGCAATTGGCCTGCTGGGGCGGGGCAACACCCAACCACGAGGCCCCATGGAGCTGCCAATCACAGCAGCCTTTTGGCCCAACAGCAGCTGATTGGTCCAGGGTGTGAGCACATGACCCAGAGTGGACCAAGCAGGCACCTTCCCTGGGAGTCTTTTTGAACTGGATCTGAGAAGGCATTTCATCTTTTCCCAATGGAGGGGCCCAGCTAAAGGGAAGAGAATGAAGATAGTGTGCACAGGTGGGCAGAGGGGCCGAGGGGATGAGTGAGCTGTCTGGGCCTGCGTCTTGGCTCTGTCCCTGGGCACAGCTTTCACCCTCTCCCTGGAATGAGGGGAATGGGGCTGGAGGCTGGGCTGGGCTAGAGCGAAGGCAGGACACATCCCCACCATCACCGTCTCTGTGAATGCAGCCATCTGTCCCCAAGGGGGATGGGGTCACTCCTCATGGGACTTCCCCGGCACTCCCACACCCTACAGGCATCCACTGGCCCTAAGGACCTGGGGCCCCTTCCGTTTGTCTGTTGCAGGCTTTGGAACCCAATGACTCTGCAAGGCACCAGCCATGGACCCTGGGCAAGTCACCTCACCTCCCACAGCCCCCACTTTATCACTTGTGAAAGGAAGAGACGGGTGGAGGGATCTGGTAGGAGGAGCTCCCAGCAGACACAGGACCATAGCACAAGCCCTCTCTCTCATTTATGCAATGGGACCACAAAGTCCTTGAGGGATCCTCACTGGGAAGGAGGCAGGGATGCTGTGGACAGAACGTGCACAGGGGCATCTCCATGTCACACCTAGTGACTGGGAAGCCAAGGATCACATCTCCATCATCAGCAAAGGAGCCCAGCGCCGCACCTCTGTCCCTGAGGCCCACACCATTACTCCGGGCCCACAAGGCATTTCCTGCATGCCCAGACCCACCACGTCTGCCTCCCACTGGGGACACCAGCGAAGGGAGCTGAGGTCTTCCCTACATGTCTAAGGGCTTAGTCTTGATCAAGACTTGAACATGATCAAGACTCAGTTCATGGCTGGGATCAGGGCTCAGATTATGACCAGGAAATGGGCTAGGTTTACAACCAGTGTCAAGACTCAGTCAGTGCCCAGGATCAGGGCTCAGCCTATGCCTGAAGTCATGATTCAGTCTATGACCAGGATCAGTGTTTAGTATGTGACTGGGATCGGGGCTCAGTGTGTGGCCAGGGTCAGGGCTCAAAGCTCCAAGTATGACCTGGCATAGGAGCTCAGTACATGACCAGGATTAGGCTCAATGTTCAACCAGGGTCCAGGCTCAGGCTGGGAGTGCAAAATGAGGGTTAGCAAGGGGGAGCCATCCTGCACCCCTGCCAAGCTCCAGTACTGCGTGTGCCGTCAGAGCGGTGTCTGCAGAGGACAGATCTGGAGAAACTGCCTGTCGTTTCTGACAGCAAGACACACTTGTTTTGCCTGATTTTTTTCCCCTCCCCTACCCTCAGCCCAGCCAGGCAGCAGGCGAAGGTGTAATTAAAAATCAGGTTTGTTAACACGAACACGACGTACATAATATTTAAAACATCCAAGCGCCTTTAACTTGATACCAACGTGCATTTGCTCATTAAGCAGGAATTTTTTTTATGGCAGCAACACTGCAAATAGCTCTTATTAAAATGCTCAAAACACCATCTGGTCCTTAGCTGAGCCTCCGAAGCATCGCGGAGGTGGCCTAACACGCTCGGAGACCTGGAGATTCCCAGCAGGACAGCAAGACTGGCTTTCCCACCAGCTCCCCAAGCATCCTGGGGTCCCAGGTGCACCTCAGCTCACCTCGCCTCACCTCAGTTCACGGCACCTCCATTTTACAGATGAGCATATGGAGGCTTGGAGGCGAGGAGCCACCTGCCTGGAATCACGCGGCTAATAAGAGAAGAAGCCTGGGTGTGAACCTGAGTTTTTCTGACTCTGGGCCCAGGCTCTCTCCAGAAAGGGCCTAGAGGCAGGGAGGAGGAAGCAGCAGGGCAGCCTCAGCATTTGGTGGAGGGGAGCAGGGTCAGGAAAGCGGTCATTGTCTTGCTGCAGGGTTTTCACCAAGAGACACCATCCCCAGGGCTAGGTGGGACGGGGCAAGAGCCCACCCTTCAGGAGGCTTACAAGGGAGATGTGGAAAATGTTTTGCAAACTGTACCAGGAGCACTTCATCAGTTCGCCAAGGGCACTCCAGCTGAGGCTGGGGAGGGGCCCTGAGTCCCCCTGGGGCTGGACGGGTGGCCTGCTGGGGGTCGGGGGCTTTTTGCCAAACCTGCTGGTTCTTGGGCTCCAGGCCTGCCAGGGCAGGGCCCTGCTGTCAGCTGAGGTGAGGGAGTTCCCACACCCATGCAGCTCTGAGCCAGAGGAGAGGCGGAGTCAGCCCCACACAGGCCCACATTGGAAGCTTCCCTCAGTCTCCTTGCCTTCCATGCCTCTTCCTCTGTGTTTCTCCCTGCTCTCTGCTGCTCCCTCCTCCCTCCTCTGCCCACTTCCACCCACTCTTGGGCACACTCTGTGCCTTAGGCCTGCGACAGGACAAACATAGACACAGGAGAGACCCTCCCCACATCCCCTCAGGTATCTACAAGCCAAAGGAAAGCCAAGAGCTGAGCTGACCTCAGTGGCATGCAGGCTGCCAGACCCCTTCCACACTCATGGCAGACATTATCAATCTATCAGGGTGTTCCACACCATGGCAGACATCACCAATCCATCAGGGCGCATGCCTGACTGAGCCAAGAACTCACTTCAGGGTCTTTCTCAACACGTCACCAGAGGAAGCCCACACCCAAGGACCAGCAGCAGCACACAGCAAGAAACCTGCCTGTCATCCCCCAATGACATGGGGCTGGGAGAGGTCAGGATCCAGTTCATCCTGAGTTCTAGTTGACATCTCATGTCACCTTGGTGACCACAGAGCATTCTGCGTCTGGCCCTGTGCATCCAGGCCCACAAGACTCAACCCTGCTGGGAATAGATGAGCAGAGTGGCAGTCACACAGAGTGATGGCAGTGCTGGGACAAGCCCGGGGGATCCCCAGCCTGGAGTGTGGGGAGGATCTGGGGCGGCTTCCAGGAGGAGGTGTGCCAGGATGAGGATATGCAGTCAGGGACCATCTGAGCCACAGAGAGGGAGAGAGAAGGAAGAGTGGGGAGGTGAGCAGGCTCCTGGTGGGGATGAGTAGGGGCGGGAGAACCGGAAGACTCCCCACTGTCTGGCTGCACAGATGGCAGGGCCATCTTGGGAGAGGCCCAGCAGGGGAAGCCGGTTCAGGGAGGATTGCAAGTCTCATTTTGCCTTTGGGCCATTTGTGGAGCTCAGAGGTGCATGCCCAGGAAACCACTGAAGTGGGAGCCAGAGGCTCTTGAGGGGAAGCAGGACCACAGCATTGGTCGTGGAGGGTGTGGTAGGAGTGGGCACTGGAAGCAGGGCTGGTGAGAATCGCAGTGAGACCAACCAGGAGGCAACGCGACAAAGACAGGAGGGGCCTCAGAACTCCGTGTCCTGCCCGCTGCTCCACTCCACCACACGGCCACCTCTGCCCTTCCCAGGGGGTCCTTACTGACGTAGATGAGACTTAAAACCAGAAACCCAAGCCACATCCCAGCTGGCAGGTCCTCTGAGCCCTCCCAGCCTCAGTTTCCCCCTCAGTAGAATATGCATAAAATGACAGAGCTCAGAGAGTTCCTGCGACAGAGAGGGGGCGAGGCAGGCATGGAGCTTTCAGAATTACAAGAGCTTTCTATTACCCATGTACAGCGAGCGCAGGCACCCGGAGACACGCACACACGAGGCACTCACACACGGGTGTGCATGTGTACTGCCACCGACATGTCTACACACACACTAGCAATCGATGTGCACAGCTG